CCCCCTACTCTTCGGAAATTCCAAATTCCTCTGTGGGTGGGTATGGATGATTTTTGGAACTACACAATTTATGTTAACGTGATGAATGTAGGCCAAAGAAATTGATTATGATTCTGTCTTCACGTTACAGGAGATGCAAGACAGTCATAAGAAACAGATACAGGACATGCAGGATAACGTTGGGTACTACCAAAGAAAAGCATACGACCTCGAGGTTAGTGTTTTTCACTACGGACATACACAGGAAGCCCGAGTAATAACGGATCGATATTTCCACATTTTGCCATCTTAATAGAGCCACGCAATGGCCTAATAGAGCTGTTAAGTTGTGTCATATTTCCTGTCCAACTTCTCTCAAAAACCGCAAAAATATATATTCACTTGTGTAAAAATACCAATATCGTTTAGCGCAACTTGTTTCTACTACCAGTGAAAGACGGATAAAGAATCTTTTTACCTTTGTCTTTCAGACATCGAACGATGCTTTGAGGCAGCAACTGAGTGAATGTAGTGAACTAAACAACTCGTTACAAAGACAACTGGAGATCGCGCAAAACAAGGCCAATTCTCAGGTAATTTCCACATTGTTATATTGTTAAACTGAAGGTTATTTCCTGACCAACGTTACAGCAGGTGGGTAGAAATGTCAACTGTTATGAATGGCATCCACTGTTATCTGTTAGAGCGGTTTTGGTATGAGTAAGATACTGACTTACAGCTCGTACACGGTACGGCATGCCGTGACAGTGAAATGGCTTCCCATAAGAATGGTTATTGCATCTCGAGTGGGAAATATACGGTACTGACTTACAGCTCGTACACGGTACGTCATGCCGTGACACTGAAATGGCTTCCCATTGTCTCCAGTAATTCATCCAATCAAAACGCGTAGTTACGGCTACGGAAGGATATTGTACGGCTACAGTACGACAATGAACGTGGTGTATAGTATCCCACTCATAAGAGATCTTCTCTATGGCAAAGGTCTTCCTTCCCAAGATGACAGTGGATGAGTAGGAATAGCATTGACTTTGTCTGCTGTTTTCACTAACATTTCTTTTATTCTCAGTCTCCTTTCAGAAAAGATGTCGAGGAACTGAACCAACTGAGAGAAGAAGTCATTCTCATGCGTGAACAATTATCTACCAAACAACGAGAAACCACTCAAGGTGGATCTGGAAATGATGATAAGGTGAGACTAGAAAGAAACAACTACGAGGGTGGAGTAATTTGGCTAGTGCACGTGGGTGGGGGAGCCTGCGATAAGACCCATACTTCTTGGGAGTGCACTCGCCTCTAAGTTCTCATTCCGCGTTTTGTTACCTTAGAGCGAAAGTATGCCGAATGCTGTATGCCGAGTGCACGTGATAGTACAAAACTTCTATTTGCAACGCACATACAACCCATATTCAATATTTACGTCTCATTCCACGTTTTATTACCTTAGAGCGAAAGTATGCCTTATCTACAAAAGGTCCTACAAGAACAAGTAGCCGAGACCACAAAACTGAACGATATTCTAACCAAGGAAAGAGAGATGTATATCAATGCTGTACAACGCTTGAGGTCATCGCCAAGTGAACCCAGTACAAGGTAGATATAACAGTGGTTATTGCTTGGCATTAGTAGGCGAAATGACTGCCCGTCATGTGCTATCAACAAGAGAGTATTCTCTTGTTGGATATCAATCTCATTACCAGCCTACAATGACAGACAAACATTGTCCGTCATGTGCTATCAACCAGACAATGTCTGAACCATTTTGGTGCTCATAAATATTGGGTCATTTTCTTCTTGTAGTACTTCTCCAGTATCGCGCGAGTTCCAGATCCTCAAGTCGCTTCGAACACAGCTCGAAGATGGTATCAGACAGAACAACACATTGCGCAACCAGCTCCAAGATCAAATAACATCCTACCACTTGAAAGCTACTTCCCCTGTACCTCCCCCACCGTCGCCATATGACGCTGTTTATCAACGAGAGATCAAGGAGCTGACGTCTAGGCTGGAGGAGAGTGAGCGCTGGAATGCATCATTGCAGGCTCGTCTAAATGACGCGCCTGGCTTGGACGTGGGAGACGGTAAATTGGCAAGTACTTCGGGGACTAAGGAAAGTATTCAACGACTAGAAGAAGTAAGTATTGAAGTTAACGTTTCTTAGGGTTTTAAGGAAGAACATTTTGCTTTAAATCCGTACTACATGCCTTAACACTGAAATGGCTTCCCATAAAAATGGAAACGAGACGAGAAATTAGTAGCCGTACTTTAGCCGTACCGTATTTTACCGCTTAAGTCAGTACCGTATGTTTCCTACTCATACCCAAACCGCTCTGTACACGACAAATGTCGAACACTGAAATGGCTTCCCACGAAAAAATATTTTCTTGTGGGTGGGAAAGATGCTGTACTGACATACAGTACGTACATACGTACACGCTACATGCCGTAACACTGAAATGGCTTGCCATAGAATATAATTTTCTCGTGATTGTTAAAAGTGCTGCAGTGACATACACGGTACATGCCATAACACTGAAATGGCTTCCTATTGCTTTCGTGCGCATCATCCGATAACAAGGCTAAGGTATTTTTAATATTGCTTATTTTTGAACACAGCAAGTTGATAATCTCACCAAAAGTCTACAACAAACCACCCACATGAACAAACGAATCAGCAATGAACTCGACGAAGTAAAAAAATCAAGTCGCCAGAGAATAACAGACAAAGACGCCACCATCAACACACAAAACCTACAGATCACCAACCTCCAGAACCAGCTACAGACGACAAAAAGCACCTTCGTAGAACTAGAAAAACGACTCCAAGACGCGCATGAAAAACTGGAATATTACGCCCGTAACGTAAATGGTGACTACGAGGATCTTCTCCTTGAGCGAGAACAAGAGGTGGAATCTCTGCGCGCTGCTCTGAAGGAGAAACAACTGCGCGAAGAGCTAGCGAATCAGAAGAGAGGAAGCGATATGGCTGCGCAAACATCTCCGATTATCCCTAGGGGGTATGTGTCGAGTGAGAAGCTGAGGGAGGTGGAAGAACGGTTACGCGGTGAACTGACGGAGAGTCTGCAGAGGAATGACTATTATAAGGATCTGCTTGATCAGAAGGCTGACGAGCTGCAAAGGATGCAACAACTGGTGGGTTTGACTTAGAGCCGTTTTCGCATGACTGTGAAAAGCTTAGTGCCGTAAGCGCGCTTCCTTGCCGTGTCACGACCGTGTTCGTGCCGTGCACTTTTCACAGTCATAACTGCTCTATATAGGAGGATCAAGGGTGGTGTAATAGTCGTGTACTCGCCTCTCACCTCTGTAGGCTCGGGTTTGACTCCTGGACGGACTCGGGAGCACTAAGTGTAGATTTCGTTGATCGTTTTCTTGATTTTAGTCTTTCAACGAGCTCTCCAGTTTTTCTCTCTCTGCAAAACACGCTGAATTTCAATTTGATCTGTGATTTAGCCGTGTCTTGACTTAGATAAGCTCCCAGGTTGTTTCAGAGTTTCATCTGTAAGTTAACCTTACCCGGATTTAGTTCAGTCCAGAGGCTTTTTCAGGGTTCGATAAAACTGAAGGTGACTGATAGATTTGTCTAATTCCATAGGGACCGTCATCGATCTCCATCAATACACAGGAAAGCAATCAAGACAAGAGCACAATCCACAATCTCCAACAAGAATACGAGAAGGGAATCCTCTCCAACGAAGCACTCAAGCGTCAGCTCGAATCTGAGATAGCTTCGGTTTCCTCAAGAGAACGTAGCCTCCAATCTGATGTACTAACTATATCTGACCTCCGTCAAAAACTAGACGAATCCTTACGATGCAATGACAGTCTTCAAGGGATCCTTCAAGAGAATTTAAAAGCTGGTAGCGGGGTCGACAGAGTAAAGAAAGAGCTTAGCACTGCTAATAAGAAGAATGAAACATTGGCCTTACAAATTGAGAGCCTGCATCAGTCGATAAAACAGTTCAACGACATCGGTAAAGAAGCGGAGAAGTTGCGCAGTGATGTGAAAGAGGCACACAAGTTGAATGATACGCTGAGTGAACAGTTGAAGGAGATGAGAAGCTCTACGACTGAGTTGCCGCTTGTACAGAGAGAACTGAAACAATCGAAGATGATGAATGAGCAGTTGGGAAAGCAGTTGGCGGAACTGCTGAACAATATGGCGAAACTAAAAACATATAATCAAAAGTACGTAGGTTCATTGTTGCGTCCGATAAGAAGTTCTTCATTCATTCATTTGTCAACCATTATTTATCGGCCCAAGGGCGGATCCAGCCAAAATTTTAAAGTGGGGGGGGGGGGCTAATTGAGTTTCTTCCGTCAACACAACGGAAAACAATTAAAAAAGCATCTAATTCTTCAGTTTTGTTTTGTTGTTGTTTTCTGCTGAAGGGGGCTTCAGCCGCTTTCAGCCCCCCTTTGCCCCCCCCCCCCGGATCCGCCCTTGCGGCCCATATACTTTCTACTTCCTACTAACCATCAATTCCTCCGTCCGGCGATTTATACCTTCATGCTGTTCGCCTGTCCCTCTATGCTTTATCTATGTATCTTATCTCATATCCCATGCGTGTATCTAACCATCCACCTACCCATCTTATATATCCATTAAATCACCCGTCCATCATCCCATCCATTCACCCACCCATCCATTCATCTATCCATATCCATCCATCCATTCATTTATCCACCCATCACATGTATCCCTGCACTCACTTGTCCATCATCCCATCCATCAACCCATCCCATCCACCCATCCCATCCATTCATCCCATGCATCCACCCATCCCATCCATTCATCCTATCCATTCATCCATCCACCCATTCCATATATCCTAAAATCACCCGTCCATCATCCCATCCATCTATCCATCCCATCCACCCATCCCATCCATTCTTCCATCAATTTCTCTTTTACTATTTCCTTTCCTTGGAAATGATTGATAACAAACCTATTATGTTTAATATAACCAGGTTGAAGTCTGAAGTGGACCAAAAGAACAAAGCCATAGAATCCCTCGAACATCACCTCTCCTCGAAACCAGACGTACATTCCAGAGGCGTTTCTCCTCTGGTTCCCATGACAACATTCAGTATGACGTCACCTCATCACGACAATGTCCATACTCAGACCAGTCCTGGGTATGGCGTCTCCAGTCCTCCCTCGGTCACTCGTCTCAGTTCTCCTCCGCCATCGCCTGGGAGGAGGGAAACTTCTCCTACAAGCGTCATCGAAAAAATGCACGGACTTAACAAAACTCTTATGTCAGAAAATCAATTCCTGAGGAATAAACTCCAACAGAACGAACGCTATACTTCGACTCTTAAGGACGAGCTAGAGTTATACAATCGAATGAAGAGAGAGAGCCTTCCAGGACTTGGAAGCCCGAATAAGATGTCGGCTACCGCTGGACAATCCATGGACGAGATACTCGCTATGTATATGAACGAAATGCGTGAACTGCGCATGCGGTTAGAGGAGAGTATCCGCACTAATGATAAACTGCGGGCTCAGTTGGAGAAGCGCATGACTGAGGAAGAAAATGGTGATGATGGGGTCCCTGTGCTGTCGTCTGATAAGTTGTTACCATATATACATGAGAATGAAGCATTAAGAGCTGAACTGCTTATGAAAGACAAGGCTAATGAAGATCTTAAGAAAGCATTGGAGAACTTGAAGAGAACGAGAGAGATGTAAGACATAATATGCTCAACATTATTCATTTATTTTTCCTTCCTTCCTTTATTCCTTCCTCCCTTCCTTCCTTCCTCCCTTTCTTCCTCCTCCCTCCTTCCTCTCCTCCTTCCTTTCTCCCTTTCTTCCCTTCTCTCTCATTCTCTCTCCCTCTTTTCCTCCATTCATTCTTTCGTCTACCACACTTTTCTTCCCCTCCATCCCTCCCCTCTTTTCTTCTCTCGCTATCTTCTCTTTCCCGTTGTTTTCAAAACATCACTCGTACCTATAAATTCCGAATTGTATTCGAAATCGTGCGATTTCCTATACTTAAAAGTATAACATAGCGTTTCTTTCTTCCACATATTCAGAGCAGGTTTCCTTTGTTCCCTCTCTTGTAATTGACATTTTTTTCCTGTCTGTCTGTCTGTCTGTCACGTGTAGAGAGCGAACCCAACTGAACGTGCTCCGCCAGCAAGGAGAAGAGAACCATCAAGTGATAACAAACCTACAGAACGAGCTGCGTGTGTACGAACAGCTCTACAAACTATCTTCCAGTAGAGCTGAGCAACACTATCAAGGTACTACATATTCTATACATAATTATACTTCGGGACTGGTCATAAAGTAAAGGGGAAGGGGGGGGAGTGGGGGGTAAAAACAGGGGGGGTCACACAAGTTTGAATTTCTTAAAACGGGTGGGCTGTTTATAAGACTGTACACTATCAGGGGTGGGTCATATTTAATTTCCTGCATTAAAACTTAGGGGGCCATCATTTTATCGTCCTTGTTTTATACTGGGCCAGTAAAAAAGAGCTCCTTCAAATCCAATTTTACCCCTCCCTCCCCCCATCCTTTAGTTCAAGACCAGTCCCTGAGGAACCACAAATTTATTCTAAATTTACCCTACATAATCTGTTTAAGACACCAGCTATGTTCGAGAGGGTCCTCGGAGTCCTGATGGCACGACCGATAACAGTGCCATCATAAAACTACTGGCTGAGATCAGAAGCCTTCGTCTACAGCTAGAGAAGAGCATTGCTACCAATAATGCTTTGCGACTTAAACTGGAGGAACAACTGAGCAGACCAATCAGAGAGTCGCCCCAGGCTTCTAGGGTATCGCCATCAGAAGTAGCAAGAAGACTTGATTTTGATAAAGATATGGACAGAATACAACCTGGTAAAAACTTTTGATAGTTTGCTTAATGTTCTCACTCTTAGAGATGTGGTCGATAAAGAAAATTGATCTATAAAAAGTATGCGTTGGTCGATTAAAAAAGGGAGAATGTATGGGCGATCTAGTCTTGAGGTCGCTTAGTAAAATGTGGTTCTCAAGAAGAATAGGTGCTATAGAGTAGTTGGTCGATTTAGAGAGGTCGATGAGTAAAAGATCTAGTCTTTGCAGAATGGGTCGCTTTGATGAGTGGTCGTTGAATAGTGGTCGTTTTATACAGGTCATCTATTGGTCGTCCTTAACGAGTGCTTCTCGCTCAGGTATCTTGTTTTGCGTATTCCATTTCAGTAGTTCTTAGAGGTAACCTCGCTGCTCGTGTAGATCGAGAACACTACATCGAACTGCAGTCCAAAATAGAAAGCATTTACAACGAAGCAACTAAACTAAAAGTACAGATACGAACCAATAAACAGGTGAGATTCCGTCCAATCAAATGAAAAACATTTCACATCATATTGGACTCTGGACTCTTTATTTTTCAGCCTTTGTACCTTGAGAATTCAGTGCACAATCTTCACACATGGGCCGCAGACTGTAAAGATTTGCTACAGAGATTTGTGATGGATGATAAAGTTGTATCAAGTGGGGATGGTGGTCCCGTTTCAAATGAGGTGAGACGAACACGTGCAGTAAATAATGAATATTTAGGGTTGTATTAGTGGTAGTGTAATTGCCTCTCACCTCTGGGGTCTCGGGTCTGATTCCTGACTAAGATCAGCCCTGAGGGTGTTTCACGGGGTTCGATATGTGAGTTAGCCGTGCTCTGACTTAGATCAGCCCAGAGATCGTTTCAGGGTTCAATCTGTGAGTTAGCCATGCCCTGACTTAAATCAGCCCAGAGGTTGTTTCAGGGTTCAATCTGTGAGTTAGCTGTGCCCTGACCTTGATCAGCCCAGAGGTTGTTTCAGGGTTCAATCTGTGAGTTAGCCATGCCCTGATTTAGAACAACCCAGAGGTTGTTTTAGGGTTCAAAATGTGAGTTAGCCATGCCCTGATTTAGAACAGCCCAGAGGTTGTTTCAGGGTGTCGATAATAACAACTTTATTTAATGAGGGTGGCACTAAATAGTGTACTACACTAATAAACTTGTGGCCCTCAAAAAATTGTCATTTGTTTCAAAAGGAAATCATAAATAGCCTTCATGACTTCCAAACAAAGAAATCATTCTCAAGGGAATGACACGTGGACTATAATAGAAAAACACCGCTTATCTGAAAATGTCCATTGTTTCCTCAGAATATGAGTCTACGTCTACAAATCTCCAAACTAAAGAAAAAACTTCTTTACCAAGAAGACGCCATTAGAAGAGCCAGTGAACAACTCGAGGTAAGGGAGCGCGCTCACAAATGATGGTTTGGGAGGGAGAGGTCGACTAAGTCAATTATGTCACATTTTTGGTAGCCCCAGCTGAATAGATCTTATTCCTCATGGTACAATGTTTGCCCATTTCAGACCACGTGTCATTCCCTATAGTATCATTTTTTTGTTTAACGGTTGCGCATGACAAAACACATGAATATCGATACTACTCTAGCCCCAGCTCAATAGATCTTATTCTTCATGGTGCAATGTTTGCCCATTACAGACCACGTGTCATTCTCAAGAGTATCATTTTCTTAACGGTTGCGCATGACAAAACACATGAATATGAATACAACTCTAGCCCCAGTTCAATATAGATCTTATTCTACATGATGCAATGTTTGCCCATTTCAGACCACGTGTCATTCCCTATAGTATCATTTTTTTGTTTAACGGTTGCGCATGACAAAACACATGAATATCGATACAACTCTAGCCCCAGCTCAATAGATCTTATTCTTCATGGTGCAATGTTTGCCCATTACAGACCACGTGTCATTCTCAAGAGTTTCATTTTTTTAACGGTTACGCGTGACAAAACACATGAATATCGATACAACTCTAACGAACAACCCTATTCTCGAGAAAATGACACTTTGCACCATAATGAATATGATTTATTCTTTGCTGGACCCAAGGAGCCCATCATGTATCAACGCGGAACTTGTCCGCATTTTTTTCTGCCTGGTGACGCTATACGTCAGACGCTTCTGATTGGCTCAGTGAATAAAAATAGGCAAGCTCGTGAAGGTTTGGCTTAATAGACTTAGTATGGTGAGTCGTCCTGCTAGTACATAACGTTGTTTTTAAAATACTATTATTGTTTCAGGAAAGTACGAAAAAGAAAGAAGGGATGCAGACGCATTTAATAGATAGATGTGAGTAGGTTAATAAAAGTATTAGCAGGGCCGTAACCAGAACTTTTACAGGGAGGGTGCACATCGAATAAAATCGGACCATTGATCGTTTCTTTTAAGAAAGTAGACCGGAAAAAAAAGGTAACCGAAAGAAAGCAGAACCAAAAAAAAGGAGATGGATGAGCGGACCTATGCTTTATGGAGGGGTGCACGTGTGCACCCTGTGCTCCCTCCTAGTTACGGCCCTGATTAGTGATTAGTGACTACTACTACTACTATTGGGTGATTTATTGGGTGGTAGGTTAGTGACTAGTTGAATGGGTCAAAGAGGGAGGTAATGGGTAGGTCTATATTGGGGGGGGGGGGGGGGGGGGGGGGGGGGGGGTGAACGAGGTGTGAATAAGAAGTAAGTATGTGAAGTCAGTGAGGGAGTGGGTGGGTAGATAGAAGGTGGATGAGTGTGCGGGTTGAAGGGGGAA